CACATGACTAGAAACACTGAAGAGGCAATCATCTTGTCCATGCTAAGCTCTTTAGGGCTCAGTTGGCTTTGGATCACCTGGAAAGACGTACTGTCTATGGTTGCTTTGTTCAAGGCTGAATTGGTATATCCATAACTCATCACCAGTAATGAGATCATAGACATGGTAAGATCAACCAGCATAACATTTTTGCACCATGAACTTCGACTATGTTTTACTTCTTGGCATTTTTCAGTTGGCCCAACGACTTGTATTCTTCAATACCCAAAACTTCTCATGAAGAATGAAGCTGAACTCTGATCCAATGCCCAGGGTCCAGAGCATATTTTAATGTGCAATTGTAACAGATAAATGAGCAGTTCTGAAATATTTTGTACAGTTCTAAATTGGAATTTGCGCAGTTCAAAACTGGGCAGGAATTACATTTGTAACAAAAATTTGACTTAAAAATAATGCTAAATATAATTTTTATTCCAAAATTTTTGCGCTCCACATGGGGGGCACAGTCAGTGCCATACCAACCACTTCTACAGAGGGGTTATAATCATTTGTGCAGTTCCGATTTCTTCTCCCAATATGCCCTGCCAGGGTCTGCTTTAAAGTCCTCATAAAAGCAATGTGGATCTTCCTCAATCATTTGCCAAATGTAGACCACTGAAATGAGAGTCACTGCTGAAGGCAGTCAGCTAGAGAGTTCATCTGCAAGTTCTTCACACCCATGGTGGAATTCAGCAAACCACTTGAAGATTATGGATTTCTTTGGTTCATCTCCAAAAGCTGACATGAATTAGGCAAAGCCTGATGTTTATCCAAGCTGCATTTAAAATCATGAAACATCTTGGCTTAAAAATTCCTTTTGGAGAGCTTTGTGGTACTCATAGCTCTAGATCACATGACTGTTAGGGATAGCCTAAGGGCACCTCCATGTTTACTCTCACTATAAGCTAGTGACACCTGAAACCATAAGCTTGACTCATCCTCCCTTTCCTTGCAAGTATAGGCTCCACATTTATTATCATCCTGTTTTGCTTGAGTCCATAAACTTTTTGAGCGACCTTGATACCATGTATAACTCAAATTATTTGTAATGGAAAAAAGGTCTTGTAATGGTTTATTGAGAATCTAAAAACTAGGCATATACACAAAGTTCAACTTTTGAGGTCTCTATGAACTAAATATGAGCAGAGAGTGCAGAAAGACATTCACTCTCTGATACAACCCCCTCTTTGGAAAACAATATGCACAAAATTATAACCTTTGTAACACTTTGCATTTTCCCCAAACTTTTCATAGGACATGTGTAGTGCCATATGCAGGAATGACCCATGCTACTTACATCAATGGGTGTAAGAACTTAAATTTTAAACCTAAAACGTTAAAATTTCACAGAATTTAAAATGTTATTTATTTATTAATACCTCAAACTTTATAACCTAAAATGAGGCTATACCAACTCACTTAGCCAGTTTTTCTGTATCTTCACACAGATGAGATTTGCAATATTTTTTACTCAGAAAATTTTAACTTTTAATCTAAAAAATTCAGCAAAGGGAAATTTTGATCGAGAAGAGCCTATATTTTTCTCAATGAAAAAATGAATTATTTCACCAGTTCCTGTAGAGCCCTTCCAGAGGCTGTTGTTAATGGGACTCAGGGTGGGGAGTAACTTTCATGTTGAGGCTATCCCTCTTATTAGTTAACTCTGCATTCTGCTATGGTTTCCAGAGTACTTTTTTTCATTAAATGCTACATGATGAATTTTGTTCAAGATACTCAATTTCAAGAAAATTCTCAGCCTCAGTTTTTCAGAGAAATAGAAGGAAACCAGTTTATTTTTATTGGAACTTATAAATGGTCAATCATTTTCTGAAAGAAACGTCAGGAACCAAGAAAAAGCTATTGAAAGTCAAAATTTCCCAAATCTATCTGGGGAAAAAAAGAGGGAGGGCAAAAGGTATCCTTTCTCTTGCCCCCATGCCTATATGCTCTTGGCAGTATGGGAAGAGAAATTGTAATCTTTCACTGATGAGATATCGTCATGACGTCATCGGTCGCTGTGCAAACTGACCAAGCACAACCGCGGAGACCTCCATACCGATACGTACGGGCAGGATTGAAAATACGAGGTCTGACAATAAAGTAACCAGACTGATTCTGTAAAAAAAAAAAAATTATCACTAACCTTTAATGGATGTTGTCACCTTCAAAGTACTCTCCTTCTGACGTTATACACACATCCCAACGTCTTTACCATGCCTGGAAACATTGCTGGAAATCATTTTCTGGAAGTCCTTTCAATAATGCCGTCACATTGCTCTGAATGTCTTCAATTGATTCGAAATGAGATCCTTTCAAGGAGTTTTTCAGTTTTGGGAACATGAAAAAGTCGCATGGGGCAAGATCAGGCGAGTACGGGGGATGTTCTAACATTGATATTTGCTTGTTTTTTTGGCCAAAAATTGCCTTACCGAAAGAGCTGTGCGGGAAGGCGCATTGTCATGATGCATAATCCACTTGTCTGACGAACGACTCGGTCTTTTTCGTCGAATGCGCGCTGCCGTAAACGTTCCAAAACTTGAAGGTAGAATGCTTGATTGACTGTTGTGGCGGAACAAATTCGTAACGGACAGTTCCTTTGGTATCGAAAACAGAAGATCAGCATGGTTTTGACCTTCGATTTTGACATGCGCGCTTTCTTCGGTCTGGGAGATCCTGGACTTTTCCATTGAAGACCTTGGCGTTTTGTCTCTGATGCTGATCTGCTTTTTCGATATCAAAGGAATTGTCCATCACGAATTTGTTCCGCCACAACAGTCAATCAAGCACTCTACCTTCAAATTTTGGAACGTTTACGGCAGCGCGCATTCGACGAAAAAGACCGAATCGTTCGTCAGACAAGTGGATTATGCATCATGACAATGCGCCTTCCCACACAGCTCTTTCGGTAAGGCAATTTTTGGCCACATTCAGAGCAATGTGACGGCATTATTGAAAGGACTTTCAGAAAATGATTTCCAACAATGTTTCCAGGCATGGTAAAGACGTTGGGATGTGTGTATAACGTCAGAAGGAGAGTACTTTGAAGGTGACCACATCCACTAAAGGATAGTGAAAATTTTTTTTTTTACAGAATCAGTCTGGTTACTTTATTGTCAGACCTCGTATGTTCTTGATATATATCACACCTTATTGCTTCCGTGATTTTTTAAATAATTATATTTCTTTCGTTTCTCTTTTCCTTTCTTTCTCGCTCTATCTTTTTGTTTGGAGTAGGAGGGGGGGGGGGGGGGGGGGGGTTAGGATTTAAAGCTGCTCCCCCGTGCGTCTCAGCCAAAACGAACATCACCCTCCTCCACCTCCTGCTTCATGCAGGAGGGAAACTTTTTCGCGGAGAAAGAAGTGGTGGTAAACAAGGGATGACATATCCCATTCACGCATCCGGTAGATGCTACGACTGCGACGAATGCACGTGAAGAGAATATCTCATCTCGAAAAGGTAGTCAGATAACAAAAATATGTGACATCGGATTCACCCGTCTCCTTCCCCATGACACCATTAAACTTCGTGTGATTGTCACAGGAAGACGCGATAATTTCGTTCATTCCTTTTCAGTTTGAAAGGCGGTGATGCAGAGGGAGAGATTCTTCTTCGCTACAAAATTCTCACCCTAAACCTCACCCATGTCTAGCATTGTCATAAGACCGGACTTTGGACAGAGGAGAGGTTTTTGTTCTGTTCTATTGTTTTTAACATTTTTATTTATTTATTTACATGTTATCTAAAGGAAAGGCTGCCAAGCCAGGACAAGAACGAGGGTACGGGAACTTTCCGATAAGAAAGTGATTGGATTGCAAGGAAAAGTCTATGGGAACGTGACACTTCACCTGTCAATAGATTTTTGCATAATGGATAGAGGCCAACTTCTATCTTACCATTTATATGGCCTGATAAGAGAGTATTGACAGTCGAGATTTTCCAGCTTCAAGCTTTTCGGTTACCTCCATATCTACGGCATACAGACACACAATACGGTACACATCGTGACTAAATTCCACAACGTCATCTCACACAAATCATCTAGATGTTTCGGTATTGTCCGATGGAAGTGTTGGATATTTCTTTCCTTGGTACCGAGGACTATAGTCTAAAATGCTCTAAGTGGATTGTCTGATGGCTTTCATTATATCTGTCTTTGGAGACACTTCTAGGGACACCTGAGCTCTCTCGACAAGGTAAACACGACAGAATATGAAGGCTAATGCTAAGGAAAAGCATCGACGAGAAAGGTTCAGTGGGAATCATCGGGTCGAACGGAATGACTTCATCTGCAAAGAATGTATAGAAAGAGATAAGATTGTATCATATGTGGGTCTTCAAGCCAGAACTGACTTTTGAGGGACGACCCTCTCGCTCTTGGGACCGGAAGTCCTCCGAACCCTCAACCGTAGAAAATAGCTGAAGGAAGGTAAAATTACGACCTGGCGAATGCAACATGCATTGTCTTACTGGCATTCGCCAGTTCAGTAAGTATTCATTAAAGATTAGACTTTGAATGACAACATGATGGTGAGGAACAAAGGAAACCCATCAACACGACTGTCGGCATGTGACAAGGAAGTAATACTTGGAGATAGGTAAAGGTACACTATAATCATCTCGAGGGTTCATTCCTAGCCTGTTTACCTGTTATCGCTTTCTAAAGTAGTAGAGAAGGATTTTTCCCCTTCGCAATCCCGCTCATTGGCCTCGCAAGCCGGGGGAAACCAGACGGAAAACGTTACAGGGAACGAACATCCTGCCCTGCCCCATCAGCCAGCCTCCCATTGTTTATTGCCCGTGCTCCCCACGCAATGCCGCCACCACTATCTCATCCGTTATTAAACCATCATTCAGAGGTTGCGTCAAGATGGCAGAGGCGTCATGAATATTTTTCTAAATATTTTTTTCTTACACCTCAAAATAGAACACGCCTTGGCAGCGGGTAAATAATAAAAATTACCTCGACAAGGAGCTTGGCACATTTCACGTCCGTGAAGAGGGGGATGGCGTACTCGATGGCCATCCGCCGGGTCCTGTAGCCATGAGTCAGGAAGGAGGATACCCTGCGAGCCCCACCTGTCCTCATTGGTAGATTGATCACAAAATCCACAGCTTTCTTCGTCAAGTAATCCCCGATCGTGGTCAGGGACTCCCGCTGCTGGGCTGGGGATGTTGCCTCACTCAAATCTGGCAAGGGCCAATCCACCGGATGTACCTGGAACAGTAAAGCTGCAAGTCATCTGGATGTTCCGAGAAAACGTTTCTTTTTTTCATTCCAAAAAGTCAAACACTTGCAACGAAAAAAATAAATGCCCAATTTGTGGTGACGTCACAGCCGTGAGATGAGAGACGCAAGCGCGACATCTCTTATCGAACAATTATGATGAATTGACTGTCAAGTGGGAAAGACCTTTTTCCTCCCCCCTACATATATTCACTTATCAGAAGGAACCGAGAGGGCGAGAGGTGGGAGACGAGATTCTATCGAGTGGAGTCCCGTGCTTGAACGTGTGAAACGGAGATGGATATTGCCAGTCCCGGCGCCCTCCCCAAGTGTTGATGTCTGTATTTTTCAACGGAATTCTTCATATTCTGCCGTGCTCTTCTCTTGCTCTGAGGTATTTTCGTACCGATGTCTTTCTCTTCGCATTCAAATGAGGACTACGGTGTCTTAACAAAACACGGTCAAGGAGTAAAGCCCTCTCGCTTGCTATCAAGGCCCCTCCAGCGGTGAGGAACTGATAGAATTGTCAAGATTTCATGACAAATCCCCTCTGGGAGTGAAGGTCAAATTGGGACTCGAACTTTCTCACTGATATCTCGAGTCACCATCTAGGAGGGCAGAATATGACTAATCTCAGACTTGAAGATCGGTGTGATTCACATTTTTGGAATTCGAAAAATGCGACAAAAATCGAAAGAATTCCTTCCTTCTGTACCTTCTATAGCATCATGATTTTACTATGCAGGGAGGATATACCGGGTGGTACAAAAAAAAACACGTCCTGTTTGAGGCTTCATGAAACTAACTGTAGAATACTAGGTTTGCCTAATTATTTTGTATCACACGGAAAACGCTCTGATATTTGTTCTATGAAAGCTGTCAAGTTTCTAGGTTGTTTGGGTAAATAGTCGTTGAAACTTTGATGATAAAATTAAGCTTTTCCAGTGAGGCAGCAATTTTAGTAGCACTCATCACATGTGTCCCACTTGTCGCCAAAAAGACTGCTTCTTAAGGCTGCCTTCTTATTGCATTTTTCTGGACTGTGCATGTCGTATCTTTCAAAGGAAAAATCACTGCGTTAAAGGGTTGTTTTTAGATTAAACGAAGGGCTGGAGAGGGTAAATACTTCACAAAACAGTCTGCGATTTGATAGGAAACTCTCACTTTTCTCTTCCCTCTCCAGACATACTTTAAGCACACCTTCAAATTCAGGCCTTACCTTCTCACCTGAGGCCTAAAACACTACGCAATCAAGATTACTATGACGAGAGCATAAAAAACTGCTTATGGCGTCAAAGGAGCGAAATCTTTTGACCAGTGCTATGACTGAATCCGCCTCGTGGGTGAAAAAATTTAATTTTATGCCTGCCCTTTGAATAAGGAAACAAACTGTTGCAGTGTTTCCAATGTGATTTAAAAAATGTAAAACCTAGAACTTACACGATCAGTTTCATAATGCGTCAAGCAAGACGCTTTTTTTGCGGCACCCGATAGATCCCGGCATGCCATGCCTATCTTTACCGTAAGTCTCGGGCTCTGATGCAAGAGCGCTCTCAACCTCGGCTAAGTGGGTAGGAAAAAAAGAAGAAAAAAAAAAGAAGGAAAGTCGACGAGGACTTCCCTCGTCTCAAGAGCTCCTCAACAATATCCATCACTTCCTACTAACAATTTTCATCTACTTCAGCACAATATCCCTTAGGAGTCCAATGCCTGTAAATGCCAGGGCTGCATCAACCTCAGAGCAGGAAATTTTATTTCCAATGCTAAAGAACTAGGTGTTTCCATAGAGGCAAACGTTTTTCAATGACACGCAGACCAAGGACAGTTCGAAACTGAAGACCTTTCGTTTCTCTGTTTTCAGGTCTGGTGCACGAGCATGGGAAACTTCTGCTTTCGCCGCACTCCAGATCGTAAACCATCAGATGAAAATCTAGTGAAAGAACCCATTGTCAACGAAGATGACGTCTTTGCGAATATTGGTCCAAAAGAATCACCGGAAGAAATTGAGGAAAAGGCTAGGCTGCTCAGCTACGATGCCCTCAAATACGATCTCCAATATAGGCAGCACTTGTTCATACTCAACAATGTCTTCCTGGCGGTTCAGTTTTTCAAGAACTATGAAAAGTAAGAAGGAATCTCACTGATTATATTTCGATAGTCATACCATCTTGATTGGTTTTCTGACACACATCAGTTCATTTGATCCAAAGTAAACGTTGAGACCTCTCGTTGCAAGGTTTTTACTCCTGTCAATTTCTATTTTTTTAATTTCATAAATTCCTCTGGTCTTTTTTTAAATTAAAAATATGGAGGTTTGAATTGAGGGTCTCGAAACAGTGTTTGATGTCGTTGGAAATGAAATACGTCTAAGGGTGCCAATGGTGGAAATACAAGGGGAAGACATTGCATCCCTATCTTATCGTTAAGCAGCTAAGCTATTATTGGAATTAGATACTTTAAGGGACGTTTGAATTTCTTCACGCTCATGTTTCGGAATCTAACGGCGAACGATATGACAGACTGCTCTTCGCTCCCTCCACAACCTCGTATCTTGGCATATGCAGCAATACGAGATAGCAATAAACTGTGTGAGGAAACAAGATCACGTAATGAACGTCGCTTCGTAAATTTTGATTGATACTGCAGGGAAAAGAAAGAGATAGAGATGATGAAGGATGCGAGAGATCGAGAGGTGACAAAGAAGCTCACATCCATTCACAAGTCATGTTACTACACGGGCAGCATCTTCGAACAAGTGGAGAATCATACGAGGCTGCGCAAAAGGAATGAAGCCTATGGCAAGTACATTGCACCAGCCATGGAGTACCACATAAACTACGACAACGTCAAAATACTTCAAAGACACGAATCCCCTACTGACTTCAAGCATGGAGCGAGTGCACTGCAGTTCAAAATGGACACCAACACCGAAGAATTCCAGCAAGGTGAGGGAGGAACCCTTCTCCGGTTTCAGACAATGAAATCCGAACATAAACGTCGGATAACGTATTATTTGAAATCTCTAGGGTGGGACATCGCGTAGGTTTCATATGTAACATACTCATTGCTGGAAGGTGCGGCGAATTATTGTTCTAGAGCAGTGATGAGCAATCTTTTTTTGACTGCGGGCGGCAATTGAACCTTTAAGGTTCCCTGCGGACAGCATGGATTTTTTTTTTAAATACAGAATTACAGGCTTTATGCCTGCAGAGTACCAAAATAATCCTAAGCCCGGCTTTGTAAACCAGGTAGTAAAATAGTAGATACTAATGATATGCAAAGAACTAATTTTTGAAGAATTTTCTCATCTTTTTACTGGGCAAAATACCAAGCAAGCCGCTTGCTCCGAGAGCAGTGATACACTGACCTAGAAGAGAGCGAAGGGATATAGGATGACAATAGGATAAGGGATGACAATGACTTGGTTAGGCTACTCCAGTGATGTGTATCTCAATATCTGCAGGCCGTATGATCTTCAAATTTGGTAGAGTAGAGTAGGTCACTGCACCAAGGGGAGAAGGGTTATGGGTCCAACACGTATTGATACCAAAAGAAGTGACAATTTGCCAAATGGTGGATTTTTATCTCAATAAATATTTTGCAGATTCATCATGAGCAGCATACCCATCAAAGGGAGGCTTACCACAGATGTTTCACCAACAGAAATGGCCTGCAATTTCCAATGCATTAGGCCCTTTCATTATCCAATCTCTCTCATTCAATTTTTAGCCTTTAGTTTTTCCCTCTACTCTTTGGTCTCCAGCAGTAACAAGATAATATTACCTCGATCGATTGTTCTGTTTCTAGCTCCCTTGTCCTTCAAAGCAGCACTAGGAAGGTAGACTCTCCGACCTGCTGAGGTTAAATCTAGCAGGGTCGTCCAGAGGGAGGGGGGGGGGGGGGGGGGGGGGCAAAGGGGGCAATCTGCTCCGGGCCCCGCGTATCAAGGGGGCCCCAAGGAGTCTCCGGTTTAGTTTTGCCCCGGACCCCTCGAAACCTATGGGCGGCCCTGAAATCTAGTAAAGGTATTGCGTTATCGACATAGTACTCTTCTGCAGACAAAAAAAAATATATATCCACCTCTTAAAATCGGTGCTTCGTTCATCATACCCCGTCACGTTTCAAATCTACATCATCTTCCACATTTCTTGGAAAGACTTTAGCAGCTTCCTCTGATGGAGGCTTTCCTTTTGAGGTGTTCATTCACAACGGAATTCCTTTTACATCTGATGGATTCAATACACGTACTACTTAATCATCTAAAGCACTGACACCACCGATGAGAGAACCACCATCATCCGTTTTCCTTACATCCATTTTTGTGCGACTGACAATTCTCAACATTACGGACTTGACACTAGCTACTTCTGCTTGACTTCATCCACGGTTCGTTCAACAAGGGAAAGGGAATTAACAACTGTTACTTCATTCTAAAGCGTCATTTTCTTTTCATTCGAGAAGGAATTCGAGAATCGGGGGAAAAACCACTTGATTTCTCACTTCTTCCGTCAAAATAAGCAGCGCATCGTGCTAAAATTCGCCCTTCTCTTCCTTCTATTGCTGTTATACTTACCTTCTGATATCCTGAAGTCACCTTGGACAAATGAATACGATTAATAAGTGAATGAAGACCACAGCCAACGGAAGCTTCCCTCCCGAGAGGAAAGCTCCGATACCACGACTGTTATACCTGCATCAAACATTGTTATAACACTTCGAGACAGTGTTGCGAGACGTTAAAAAAAAATTAGCTATTTATATGACATGAGGATGAACTGAACTTTGACAGAAAACTGTTTCACTGCTTGCTTTTTTATTTAAATCATCATTGCAAGAATTTGTTAGGGAAACATTCTCTTCTCTATATATTTCGCATCAATCCAAAGGAAGCTCTGAGGAATCCGTAAAGGAAGCACTTCAGGTAATTTTCCCTATCATATGCACTATCATATATCATATGTAAATTGCTCACGAAATCCCAACTGGGGAGCGATTAAACAAGTCACTGAAAGAAATGCGATCATCCCTATCCTCGGCCTTCCGTGGGGAGGAGGGACAGACAGCCCCCCCCCCCCCAAAAAAAAGAAAAAAGTTGCCAATGGTTTCTGCGAAATCATTGAATCTATTTTACAGGAAACTCTTACTTGTCAGAATACACTACAAGACCCACCAAGATGCCGAATTCCATCACTCAATTCTTCAGCGTCCAATATTTTTCTAAATCATATTTCTAAATAACCCATCCATTCATTCGGGTGAAATAAGTTCTTCAGCATGTAGCATTTTATCATGTAGCTGCCATATGAATATTTAAGACTAAAAATGCTTTTGCAGCATATTTGTTGTCTACAGTGATAAAAAAGCCACGTGTACATGCACACTATCAAATTCTGTTTCAATCCAGGTAACTGAATATCTAAAAAAAAAAGAGGAAAATTAAGCCCAATGAGATAAAACTCATTAAGAATAAGAGTAATCGGTGAATTTGACTTTGCACTCAACTTTGAGACATTTCAATTTTTTGCCATCTAGGTGAAGTTCATCTGTGCCTCGAACGTGGGAATGATCTGAGATCAAACAATTATGGAGGAAGTCGTGTCAGCATAGGATATGACAGTCCAGACAATATTGGGAGTACTACTACAACAGATGCAACTGTTGATTCACGTAACAGGCGTCGAAGAAAACGTAGAAGAAAGAAGCCTCAATTGGAGAATCTCGACGTCATCAGCAGCGGTACTACAGACTTGAGCAGCAGCAGTTCTGATGAGCAGGAAGAGGCAGAATCCAGTACGCTGTTTCCAATTCTAGCAAAATCGCCATGGGCAAATAGAAAACGATCAACTATGAAGAAGGCAAAAAGTGAAAGCCATCTGACAGTGAACAATGAATCCAATGGAGGGAGCACAATCGATTCTGGCATCAGAAGTTTCCCAGACACTAATGCATCTCTCCCAGACCTCAATAACAGTCAGACGATGACATCAGAGCTTCGCGGCTGCCTTAAGAGTGAAAAGAGACATCTGCAAGAAGATGCACGCATCAGTAGCACCCTAAATGTCAGCCTTCTATCATCATCAGCACTGGCTCGCAAGTTTACAATGAACTTCGAGGACATTGCCTTGCTGCTGGGGGATAAGAACCTTGCTTACAACCACACATCACGGTACCATATGGTGAATTATGAGAAGCACATCCATGGAAATGCTGCTCATTACAGATTTTTGCCCTCAATTACTGTGCCCTTCTGGCCTGATGAATACATTGAATGGATAATGAGGGAGCGAGTACCAACAAGGGATGTGCGACTGAATCAAGTGTATGTTTGGCCAACAAAAGCTATGGTGGAAAAAGCCATGCATCTTGGTTGCAACCTGATTCCCAAGCTGCCTAACAGTTCCTCAAACCCCTCAGCTACTCACTCATGGATGATGAATTTCACCAAGATTGAAGCTTTCCTTATGAGGACACTTCTCCATTCTCAAATTCGTTGTTATCTATTCTGCATTGTTCTCTACAAGATGTATTTAGAAGACATGAAAGCACCGCTTGTCAGTGCACACCATATCAGGCACATTCTCTTCAAGATGTGTGAGGAAGAATTCCTACAATGGCCTGAGGAACAACTGGCTGAGAAGATCTTCCAACTCATGGAGACCTTGCATCGAGCACTTCAAAAACAGCGACTGCCAAATTACTTTATCCGGAAGAGGAACATCCTGGAAAACATTCCAACACAGCAAATTCTTCGTTCACAGAAGCGTGTCTCAGAGATGTTGGAAAGCTGGCCAATACGCATCTTCCACATCCTTGAAGCTCTCAGTTCTATAGAGCTTGCACCTGGCTTCTACCCCAGGTTTCCTTTTGAAAAGCTTAATTATTACCTCACAGCAGAAAGTTGGACCATCATTAAACACCTTCCACTAATGGAGTCTTCTGGAGAGCAACCTCAAAACATTCTATCTTCAGATGATGACAGTGAGGAAAATGTCCGCATAGGAGGTGCCCGAGGGGGAGTCAAGCACAAACGCCAGTACATGAAGAACAAGCAAATCATTCAAGAAAAAGCTGGAATCAACTTCAATGCAAAGATCTGGCACTTGGATAGAATTAGACTGAACAGCATTCTCCCCCTTTTCATAGAACACTTCATTGCTATGGGTAAAAAGTCAAATGAGTTCGGAGACCGAGGTCAAGCTCTTCTCTATCTGAACCATGCTGAGAACCTAGCAAAATTGATGGAAGAAGAATGCAATGATGTAGACAAGACTAAGAAATACAAAGATGACATCAGGCAGCTTCGGGGTGCCTCAAGGAGTGGGTCAGGAGACAGAAGCAGAACCTATAACTTGATATGGAAGCAGGAGACTAAAATGACCAGATTATCCTTTAAGAATGACCAGGTTGTCTTCAGAACTCGACAGAAACAGGAAAAAAATTCAAACCCAAAGCTTCCTGACCAACCTCAGCCAACATCACGGCCAAATTCATTGAACCTCAACTCATCCAGGATGGGCCTTGCTAAAAGTCTCACTTCCATCCCCTCAATTAATTCCTACTATAAAGTAGATGAGAGTGATTCCAGTCACAGTGATGACAACTTGAGTGAGAATGAAGGAAAAGGCAACCACCAAGTACAAGTGCATGCAGATGTCCATCCAGAAAATGCTTCAATGTCACATGCACCAGATTCATCTCATCTTGGAGCTGCCAACGTTAGGCACATTTATGGATCTCAGATGTATCCAATCAAAGAAGATGATTCTGAGAAATCATATGAAGAGATCCAAAAACCAGTTGTTGACAATGTGCAGGTACAGTTTAAGTCTGCTCAGAGAGGGAGCCTAAACACAAAAACTCAAGGTGGAAAGAACTTGGGCAAAGAAGTGCAACAAGATAAACTCTTCCCTAGGCAACATAGGTACACAAGCAGTTCTGTCATCAGTGGACATCCAGGGATACCTGAACCCCCAGGAGGAAGCACTTCTGATTCAGATGAAGTTACAGCACTGTGACACTATGGTTTTGTTCTTGTGGTATGAATGAAATTCATAATAGCTTCACAGTGAAATTATGATGGAAAAACATGATGGAAAAACACTAATATAGAGATTCTTGTATATTTCTTTGGAAATGCATATCTTTGCTGGATCAAAGATCACACATGTATGGTTTTCTCTCTCCAAACTATTTTTTTCCAAACATTCCATTTGTCTGATTGATGCTTACCTGAATAAAACAGTATCCAGCAGGAGTTCAATACCAAACTGATGCTAAAAAAATGCCATTCAACATGGTAGATGAGTAAGGCAGCAAGTTACAATTACATGGGAATGTTCATGAAAGGAATCATAGGAAAAGTAATTTTTCCATAAGAAAAATGGCTAGATTCCATGACTACCTTGCACACTCCATTTCTGGCTGAAGACATGCTTGATTTGAGTACAGAGTGGGGATTGGTGTTTGAAAGGATTTGTTACATACATTAAAGCTACCGATTGAAAAGGATTCCTTTAACATTTGATCAAATAGAGATTTAGTAATGATAACAATTTAATTAACATTAATCTAAGCTCCAAATCTCTCCTTGCTTGAAATCCCTGAATTTCCTTCTCAGAAGAAGTACTCTTGAGGTGGCAAAATCTGAAATTATAGAACAATGGGTTAGGATCAGATGAAATGACTGTCCACAAAGTACATGTGATATTGCTCTATCAGAGATAGCATTTTACACAAGAGAAACCTATAAATACTCTACTGTGGCAAACTACTGATTTTAACTAAATATGTACTTTATTTTTAGCAAGAAGGGATACAAATTTCCTACATATTGAAGATACCCATATAGCCTGTTATTACATGAGAGTCCATTCACATACTACTCATCCCTCTTCTGAGAGGGGTGAGTAGCATATAACATTAACAATAATAAACTGTTGGTATCGACATTTTAAAACAAGCCAAAAATATCCAGCACCAGAGCAGCAATTCTGCTGCAAAAACTCTGCAGTGAAAGGTTTCAATGAGAGTAAATACAATAACATTCACATTGATCATAACAAGGATAAGACTCTGAATGCACATAACAAGGAGCGATTGGGGGAGACAAATAGGAAGTGGCTAATAAGACTTCGCTAATCACCATCAATCAGGAACTGATGTTTTGCAAATATGCATGGGCTAAACATAACAGGATTTTGGGCTTCACCCACCATTCAATTTACCAAGAAGAGCTTGAGCATTAGTCTTCCATTATATGCAGCACTGGCAATATCCCACTTATAGTAGGCTTTTCATGCTTAACAGCAAATAAAAGTGCTGTAGCCACACTGGAAAGGGTTTAGAGGTAGGCTAAGGCAATAAAGGAGGTACAAGGACTTTCATAGGAAAAACATGAAGAGGATAGGAATTCTACAGGTATTTGCTTGAAAGAAAGTTAATGAGTATGGGCTTTATCATTTAGGTGTTTGGATCATCAAAGGAATTGATAATGGAGAGTTAGTATTTTCAACTTAATGCTAACTGCAGAACAAGGGGAAACCAGTATTAACTCAATATTTCACTGCAAGTACTTTTTTTTACACTGCTAACTTACTGCTTCAGAGTCCCAAAATACAAATCCCTGGATGAGAAGTCTGCTAGAACTTCATAAGACAAAAGCAATCCGTACTCTTTTATTCTAGGGCAATCTGGAGTTTTCACTAACACTTTTTGAATATTCCTGAAGAACAACTTACTCATCCTGAGATAATTTCATTTATGGCTGAAAGAAAGACTCTGTATATATAATTAGTTTGCAATGCATGTCCTTCAAGGTACTTTTCAGTACAGCCAATCCTGCAGGTTTTTTTGTTAGTTGGCCTGCATGTTGACAATAAGAAATACTTTTCAATACTTCTGTTCTTAGTCTAGTGCTTGAGACCACCAAAAGCACTTCAACATTTTGAGAAAATCATCATCATCAGAGCCCCTTTGATAAAAATTCTGTAATAAGTAAGTTTTGATTGATCTAAGTTAGTTAAGGTTATTCACCTAACAATTACTTTTCAGTAGTGGTATAGTAATGGAAACCAACAGAAGGCATCACCCTGATTTAAATCTAACCTCATTCATTGGAATCCAATCAGAAATCATTTCTATAGTTTGGTCAGTTTGGTCAGGTCAATATGGATGAAGATTTTTGGTGTTTGCTACACCATTACTTCAGACCCACAAAAGAATGTCTCTGCATCAAATAGAAATCCTTTCATTGGCTCTTTTGTCAAAATCAAACCAGTATTTTTTTTCTGGGTTTATTTTGGAAATAAGAAGTAATTTTTGTTACCATTGAGTATTTCAGATCAGCAGTGTGTTGGCACACCCTAGCATAAAATTGAGTCAGAACTTCACTTGGTAAAATTAGTTCAGAACTTAAGAGTCTGTGTCAGGCAGAGTGCTTTGGATAACAAGTACTTTTCAGGTCTTTCATAATCATATAACATTTTTAAAAATGAGCGGTGAAGGCCAGAAAGGGAAAGCATATGCATCTACTCAGATCCCAGGCCTAACTGTCACTTCTATGGCAGATCACACTCCCTTGGTGCCATTTCTTCAACAAGTCAGTGGCAAAGTCAATAACATAGTCATTAGCCTATTCCCCCTAATAGTATGCTTAAGGAGGCAACATGCATCAAAATGGCAACATAATTTCTTGAATCAATAGTATAATACATTTCCACACCAATCTGCACATATTGGAAAGCTTGTGACAAGTACTAACTGAATTCAAAAATGAGTTTTGAAAATTGTCACATAATGGCTTAATTGGGAGGGGTCAAAATTCAAAAGGTACAAAATTGGTCATGCCCGTATAGGAAAATCCCCCACTAGGTTTTTCTCTCCCTATTTGATGCTACCTATTTGAAGCTTTCAGGATACATTATTGTTGGAATGGTGTACAGACCTATGTGGTTAACTTTTGAATATATTCATTTATGTTGCCATGGCAACAGTTTCGTACTTTTACTGCCCCCTCATTGCTGGTATAAACTTTTTTTGGTCATATCTCCAGAATTAAACCTCCCATTGACATTTTATAGAAAGGATTGTAGCTCTTATACACCTCTACTAGCATGCAAAATTTGAAGTTAATAGGATTAGGCATTACAAAGAAATGCATAGGGGGTATATGTGGACACCACAAAAGCTTGAAACTGAGAAAATCAGCATTAACTACAGACTACTGACATTGTTCACAATAAGTTCTCTAACAGTCCCTTTCATTTTTGTCCAATATGAGACCGATTATAAGAAAATGGCCTTTGGATCTGATATTTGACATATACAGGAAGCTAAAAATGTAAAAAATCTCAAAAATGATATATACAAGGTGCGTCAGCAATTTGAGAACAAAATTTGACTTTGAGGAAAACAAAAATATTCAGTAGAAAAACCTAAATATTTTCATAGAATTTGGTACACATGTTCTTACATACACATAACAAAAGGCTATTCAATAAAACCGCCTAAGAAAACGTATGGCTTTTTTTTCTTCACTCTATATGCAGTCGACCAAGAAGACGCTGCAGCGTTCAAGCCGAACTTGTCGACTAAGATTACTACTTAAGAACAGCGTAACCCTTGGTAATCCAACGAGTACGATGCCTTATATGAGTCAGTAGCAGGCCCGTTAGCTCAGTTGGTTAGAGCGCCGTGCTAATAACGCGGAAGTCGTGGGTTCGATCCCCATACGGGCCAGGGAATTGCTTTTTTGTACACAAATCTCTCAGTACCCAATTCCCTCTCTGCATATCATTTTCCACTAAGGGAACGACATTAAATTGGAGACATAGCTCAGCCATGTACACATTCCGTGCGCAGACGCGCCACATTGGTCGAAACTTGGCATGGTTCAAACTTCTCTGCGAGGACCTGCAATTGAGGAGTTCTCTAGAAAAAGGGCTTATGTGCAAAATATGCAATTCGAGATAAACGATAAAACTTCTCATAGCTAATCTGAAGCTGGTCAAAACTGAATTATCAGTAAAATGGTATCTTAGATCTTTTTTCAATTGAACTTTGGGTTTTAATGAATTTCTTCGTCTCAAGTTGCTGGGATGCGGGCAGAAAGTGCTGATGCCCTTTTTCGCTTATGGCTTTTTTCGCTCATGCCCTTTTTCCATATCGGCGCTGCTGAAACTTTTTCCAACGAGTCTTTCACCCCGCTTCTTTCCAGTTGAAAGCAATAATTAATCAATAAATACATCACCAGATTTCAAATAAACTCTTTTTAGAAGAATAGCAATGAAAATGTGGATATTCAGGGCTTCTTTCATTTCCCAATTACTCGGCAGTGATCCTTGTGCTCCCTCTCATCTCAAGAAAGGCTTAGAACAAATGCGAATTCCAAATGCTTGTAAAAAAAAAAAAAAAAAAAAGAAAGATTCGAGTGGCCCGTATGGGGATCGAACCCACGACTTCCGCGTTATTAGCACGGCGCTCTAACCAACTGAGCTAACGGGCCTGACACTTGGTTTTGGTCACACGGTCTTGTTGGCGTTGCTTGCACAATTACTTGTAAGAATTTGCATTTAAGCAGGAATCTTAACAGACGTACAGCCTCCCCCGAGCCGAGACGCTGTCAAGCCCTGGATTGAGGGAGTGGCTTCAGCAAGACTCTGCTCCCTCTCGCACAGCCGGCACGACCCAGGAGTGGCGGGCCGAAAATTTTCAGGATCGTGTTACCCCTAACATTTGGCCTCCTAGCTCTCCTGATTTAAACACCCTGTACTACTATGTCTGGGGCGTCTTTGAGAGGGAGACCAACAAGCATGCCCATAATACCAAGAACTCGTTAAAGGCTGCCATCGGGGACATTATGGCAAACATAAATAAGGATCACCTGATCAATGCAAGTTGTCGTTTCAGAAGCCGCATCGAGGCCGTAATCGAGGTTGAAGGAGGTTTTATTGAATAGCCTTTTGTTATGTGTATGTAAGAACATGTGTACCAAATTCTATGAAAATATATAGGTTTTTCTACTGAATATTTTTGTTTTCCTCAATGTCAAATTTTGTTCTCAAATAGCTGATGCACCCTGTATTTGCTAAATTGATGCAAAGTGCCCCCTTAAGAGCACAGGGGATTGATCCATCAAAGAGTAATTTGAGGCCAAAATTTTTTTGGAAAATATTTCAAAGCCATGGAGACATCATTTTTCTAAACATTCGGAGAAAACTTTTGGTGAACTTCCCAATAACCACCCACTGTTTCAAGGACTGCTTCATTCTTACCCTCTACACTTCAAGCTGTTAGTCAAGCTAAAGGCAGAAAAATAGATTATTGACACTTTGGGTTTTTTGTGCAGAATCTAATTCAGAATAGAGGAATTCTTGGGGTTTTGGCACATTTCTATCAATTTTCTCTATAGAGGGGAATTAAGGTTTTTGACATCCTGTACATTATCAGAGGATTACTATGATACATTTTTATGTCACTCAGCCCCTAATGTGAATGCTGATAACCAGAAAAAACAAAGAATCTTTCTTACACATCTATGCACAAATCATGTCCTGTGTCATATATATAGTACACTGGCGCAGGAAGAAAGGAAAAAGTGTTCTGACTTCCTAATCAATAATGACTGCTTCGTGTCATGCTATTCTTTAGCATCAGCCCAGAAACAAATGGAGAAATTCTTCCCTGCAAAAATGCATTTTATAAAGGACACCTATATGGTGAAATTTAATCATACCTTTATCCCATGCTCAAAGTAGAAATCTGCAGTCCCAGTACTGGCATATAGAACATAACCCATCTTCTCCAGAATTCGAACACTTGGAAGTAATTCCATCTTGTGCTGAAGGAGGTGAAAGCAAATTAGCATTCAGGTTGAGATGTCTCTGAAAGGGAAATGCCTTCATAGAGACCATAGAAACATTCCTCATTAAAAAAAGAACATACTGATAGTGTACTAAACCTCCCTCAGTAAGTTTACATCTCAAGAAGATTTAAAGAAACAGGGATATTCTTACCTTATAACTTCCAACAGAGAGGAGAATACTTTTATTTGGTATGCTGATGCCTGTGCTCATGAGAGCTTTGAGATAGGCTTCATAGCGGTTTTCTCCGAAACATGCTACTTCCCCAGTTGAAGCCATCTCCACTCCCAACATCACATCAGCTCCTATGAAAACCCATTCCAACTATCAGAATACACAACATGCCACAAAGGAATTACTTCTTAAAATCTTGCAACTTTTAAACATGTACATGGATGCCCATGAAATCTTATTGTTTCACACTTCTGTCAATTGTCCTCATTTCTCTGAATACATGATTAAATTAACTAGGAGATCCAATGATACAAGCACATGAAAATGCCATATCAAAAATTGCTTTGTACATGCAGCCATTATAGTCTGCTAAAAAAATTAAGGTCTGAATGCACAAACCTTATTTAGGGGATATAAAAAGGCCTTTAACCCTTTGCGGTCATATTTATTTTCCACTAGTTGTCCCCTCAGGTCATATTTAATTTCAATGAAAAAAGATAAAAACACATTTCAACAAATCATTTCAAATGCCAGTCAGTAGATGGATAAATACAATCGGTAGATGTTGTGTGAAGTAAAATATTGTAATAAATGGCAGGAAAAAGTAATTTCAGGTGAGTCCGAACAAAGGATGGTGGGCAAAAATGATATATTTGTGATGTCGGGTGACACCCGACATATGACCAGAACTAATCATTTTTAATGTCGGGTCCTGCCCGACACATGACCGCAAAGGGTTAAGCTAAAGAGCTCTTTTTCTCCCATAGGAATCAATGGATCTTCTCATCCTTTGAGGTGTGGAAGCTGGGTTGTTGTTTGAGGTTTGTGTACTGACTGAATCTAGGAGCAAGACATTCCTATATCATGACACATTTGACAATGATATGACTCTACAGATTCCTGCTGACAATATACTTCAGGGTGATTCACTAGAAAGAGGCCCCAGGATTTCACTAATATTTTCTTTATTTATGAACCAATTTCCATAAAGCACATTCAGCACATGATGTAATTGGGATCAATTTGCAATGGAATGAGGTCTGTTTTAAAATTTTTAAAATGGAAATCAGTTCATAATTAAAGAAAACAGCGAAATCCTCTGGCCTCTACCTAGTGAATCACCCTATACTTGTGTGATCACATAGTACATCTTCTTCCCATGCTGAGGTAATACAGTGAGTTCTGCTTATTGTTATTGCTGGTTAATGTTATCAGCCATTTATTGTTATCAAAACACAAAAACAAAAATGCCCCCCCACTGCCCACTACCCTTTCACCAATAAAACAAGCACTAACTCTACCAACAACAGTCCAATATTGACTGGTGCAATTGAATGTTGCTCTTGGCCTGAGTTTCACTTGTTATGTTGCTAAATTGTTATGAGTTGTTTTATTGTAGTGTTTCCCTTAGTGCACTCTTCTTTTCACCCAACATTACATAAGACGGGTAAAATATCACAGAAATGAAGAGACTTGAGTGTTAAGGAGAAACTGAAGCTTCTAAGCAACTATGATGCATTGCCAAAATGTAATTAATGGGAAGCAGCTGCAAAATTAAGAATTTTGCAACCGTTTTCGTGCAAAATTTTGAAAAACAGACAAATTCTTGAAACAAGTGAGACTCTAAATCTAAACCTCAACAGAAAGAGAAAGAGGGAAGGAAAAAGTACAGACGTTGAAGATGCTCTTCTTGCTTGCTTAAACCGCAGCGATCACCGAGGGTAATCCTTGGCATTTGCTGCATATTGATATCAGCCAGTTAATGTTATCAAGCTCTTCATGCACCAATGTGATCACAATAAGTGGCATCTACTGTACTACCTAGATTTCCAGTTTAATTTCTGTGTTCATACCTGCCAGCCTTGAGAAAGAAAACTGAGGCACTTTCACACCAACTCTGCCACATCCCTGAAGTACATCTACTGGTTCCAGAGTGATCCCAACTATGGATTTTGTTGCCATTGATACAAAGTCATGATTCAGAGTCTTGGAAACAAAAGGGAAAGACCTCGAGACTCTTACATTGCATTCTATCACCTTCAACTGATTATCCTGAAACAAGGAACAAAAATTCATGATTCATGTTTCTGCTTCCTGATAGCCTCACCAGACATCATCTTTCCCCTCCTTACCTTTGCAATGAGTTGTAAATTGAATGGTCCAGTAACTTCAAGTTGTTGAGCAACTGCCCTGCAAATGCCACGTATTTTTCCTAATGTTTCATCATTGAGATCCTGTGGTGGAGTGACAAGGGTAGCATCTCCAGAATGCACACCAGCATTCTCTACATGTTCAGAGACAGCCATGCACAAGACTTCCCCATCTTTGGCTACTGCATCCACATCTATCTCCTGGGGACACAATCCGGATAAAGACCAACTTTATTTTCACATTTTTTTATTGTTTCAATTGACCTACAGATTTTTGTTTCTTATCAACTATAACTTGAATCTCTACTTCTCTACATGAAATTCACAAATAATACCATGAGAGTCACTGGGGATAGGTACAACACTTGCAAATTCCTTCTCCATCATTTATTCAGCTTTGACAGCATTTCAGTAACTGAAGTACTGAAGAATATGAAAGTCTTAAACAAAAGGAGGAAATATATATTTGCAAAAAAAATTTTAATGATTTTCCAAAGACAACAAACTGAAGAACCCTTCCAACACTTCCTCCTAGTATGGGAGCATTGACTTACAATGGGCTAGAGGTGAGAAATATAATGTCCCTTTGATGCATTGTATTTCTTATTTTAGCATATTTCAGTCATTTCACAAACATCCATTTAGACAAAATGGGATTCAGCATTACATGATGCACCACATTAACCACTTGACTGCAAGACCTGAAAAAGTTCTAGTTTTAATCACAAATCATACACATTTATGAATATACATGTGGACTCACATATGAGATGTTCACAGGATGGCAAGGTCAGGTACTTTTTCCAGGTCTCAGTCAAGTGGTTAAAGCAACTAACCTCCATGCAACCTACCTTGGCCTCTAAGATGAACTTGGATATGACAACAGGATGGTCTTTTGACACAGCACTAGCAATTCTGAGATAATTTTCAAGGTCATGAGGAGAGTGAACCACGCTCATGGCTGCCCCACTCAATACATAAGATGGTCGCACAAGGCATGGATAACCCACTTCCTCACAAAACTCCATGGCTGACTCTAAGTCTGATAATTCTTTCCATCTGCAAGGAAACATCCTTGATTAGTGAATTATACTTTTAATCACAATTTCCAAATCACACTTTTTCAGTGCATGATTCAATGAGGCCAAACAAATGATACAATTTCAGTCAGAAAATCCATGACTAAATTGAACTTGAATCACTGATATATACTTCCAGGCAAGGATTTAGTATCATGGATGGACAATTGGGAAGTGTCATGTTTATGTCAAAGCAGTAATATGCTCAAGTTAAACCCCAAACATCTGCATATCTGACCACAATGACCAAACAGAATGTGCAATTTCAACTCATGATTGTCAAGACACAATTCGATTCCTTTTTTCATATCTAATTGACTGATTTGATTGACAAGGATCAAATGAGATGGCTATAGCAAAATACACAATAAGAAAATACCTTGGTTGGGATATACCCATGCTATCCAGCATTCGAGAAAACTTGAATCTATTCTCTGCATTATCAATGCCGACTGGAGAGGTGCCTAGGATCCGCACCTTCTGCTTGAAAAGATCCATAGCAATGTTGTTGGGCAATTGACCACCCATGCTGAGAATCACCCCCTCTGGATTCTCCAGGGAATATATGTCCATAACTGCCTGGAAATGTTGTAATTTTCATTTATAATTTTAGTAAATTAGCTGATGGGAATAAAATAATCCACATCATGAAACTCACCTCAAAGGAAAGTTCCTCAAAATACAGTCTATCACACATATCATAGTCTGTGCTGACAGTCTCAGGATTATAATTGATCATGATAGTTTTCATTCCCAGTTTTCTGAGTTCTCGAATGCATCCCACTGCACTCCAATCAAATTCGACTGAACTCCCAATTCGATACACGCCAGATCCTGAACACAATAAATAATCTTGTGCAATAAAGAAATACCAGTCACTCTCTTTGATATATTTCACACAATCACTGCTTACAGATGCAGAACATCAAAAAATGAAAGGGTATTGCAGATTACTGTTCTATCTAATGAGATGTTGAGATGCTCACCAAGGACCATAATGCCTTCTTCAGGAAACTGCACATCATGAGATGCCCCACTGTAGGTCAAATAGAGATAATTAGTCACAGCTGGCCATTCTGCAGCTACAGTATCAATCTGTTTCACCCATGGATGGAGACCTGAAAAAAAAATTTTCAATAGCTTCTGAGAGAGAACTACTACTTCTACATGTTATACAATAAATAATTCAACAGCTAACCCAGTCTTTCTCGCAACTTCCTGATAGCCTGCTCTGTACTGTGGACAAAACTTGCAATATGCTTATCTGAGAAACCCATTTTTTTTGCATGCAACAAAGTTTCCAAGTCAAGGTTATGTGACTGTAGTCCTTCCAAGAATTCTTGACATTCAATTATTCCTTTCATCTTGTGGAGGAACCATCGATCAATTTTTGTCAGCTCATAAAGTTCATCAACACTGTAGCCTTCCTTCAAAGCTGCAGCAAGCACAAAGATTCGCTTGTCTGTTGGGGATTCCAGCTCCTGTGAAAGACAATTGTGCATGAGGTCAATAGAGAATATGAAGAAAGTAACAAGAAACCAACTGTTCCTCACAAGACCCATTCAGTTTCTCACCTCCTTGGAAGGTGACTTTAAATAAGGGTCAAATCCCATTGTGGTCTCATCCATCATACGCAGAGCTTTTTGAAAGGCTTCCTCAAATGTACGTCCAATGCCCATCACTTCACCCACACTCTTCATTGAGCTACCAATCTGAAAAACAATGACCAATGCAACTGAGAGACTGTTGCCACTGAACCCTTCTCAGGTGACTTACATGAGCCAGATGCAAAGCACTGTAACCAACATAAATTTCATGCAGAGGAAATCATAAAAGTTTTTTCTATGGCAAAAAAAGGATTTTCAAACACAGCCATTTGAACATTTGATACCTTCTTTTGTATTCTGAAAGTTTTATTGTTCATATTTTTATCTCTGTAGCTACAGATACAGCATCATTTTGGTATAAGTTTCAGGGAAAAAATTGTTGAAGGGTACATTATCTTACTTCTGAATCTCTCAATTGTGGCAGCAGAGATTATAATACCTTAGTGCTGACTCTAGTGAACTTGGCCAGGTCCCACCGAGGTACTTTGACAACACAGTAATCTAGACTGGGCTCAAAGCAAGCTGTTGTTGAGCCTGTAACAGAATTCTTGAGCAGGGGCAGTTGACAGCCAATTGAAAGCTTGGCAGCTATGTATGCCAGGGGATAGCCCGTGGCCTTGCTTGCAAGAGCAGAGCTACGTGATAGTCGTGCATTCACCTGCAACAGACATGTGCCAACATTAAATTTTAATGAACATGTAGTTTAGGCCAATCCAAAAGCAGGGTGCCTACTATAATTGAAATGAGACATGACTCACCTCTATGATGTAGAATTCTTCAGACTGGGGATTGAGTGCATACTGTATGTTACATTCTCCAATGATGCCAAGGTGTCGAACAACTTTGATAGCAGTAGACCTCAGCAGATTATATTCTCGATTTGTAAGAGTTTGTGAAGGAGCAACAACAATGCTCTCTCCTGTGTGGATCCCCAAGGGATCTACATTCTCCATGTTACAAACCTGAATGATGGCGTGTTTTTTCAATCTTATGCATGCAATCTCTAGAACCATGACAAAAGCCATAGATTATGCTAACTTACAGTGATACAGTTATCAAAAGCATCCCGAACAACTTCATATTCAACCTCTTTCCAACCTTTAAGAGATTTATCAATAATGACTTGATGAGTGCAAGCAAAGGCCTGAGAGGCAAGGTTACGCAGCTCAACTTCACTATTTGCAAAGCCAGAGCCCAAACCTCCAAGTGCAAAAGCAGCTCGAATCAGGATGGGATATCCAATCTTCCTAGCAGCTTCTACAGCCTGGAATGAGCATGGGGAAACAGTGTATGATCATCATACACTTGAAAATGATTTGAAAAGAAAATAAAGTAGGAAAAACAGTCACTTCGTCCATGTTGAATGCAGTTTCACTTGGTGCAACTCTTTCACCAATGCTGGCCATCTGCTCAGCAAAAAGTTTTCTGTCTTCAGTTTCCTTGATGGCAGAGATAGGACTTCCTAGCACTTGGACCTGATACAATCTCAACACTCCTGATTCATCCAGGGCCAAGCCACAGTTCAATGCAGTCTGACCACCAAATGTCAACAGTATTCCCTCCGGTCTCTCTGAAGCTATCACCTAAGGGAAAGAAAATAGGGTGTACCTGAATGACTTATGTTACCAAGGGGGATCATGCCAAAAACAGTACTCAAGATACCTTTTCAACATATTCAGGGGTAATGGGGAGGAAGTAAACTTTGTCTGCAAGGCCCTTAGATGTCTGGACAGTGGCAATGTTGGAATTAATGAGAATAGTTTGAATCCCTTCTTCATGGAGTGCCTTCACAGCCTGAGACCCTGAATAGTCAAACTCACCAGCTTGACCTGAAAATCAAAAGTGATTTCAAGACCTAAATATACCACATGCGGCTTTGCAGGGTACCAGGATTATGCATGGCATGTTTCACACACCTATTGACAGTCCACCAGAACCAAGTAGGATGACCTTTTTAGGCTTTTGATTAATTAATCGTTCAACATCAGGAGAGAGAGGATGAAATATTTTCCCCTGAATCATGTCTTGCACAGATAAAGCCTTCCCCTTTTGATTGGCTTTCACAGAGTCAAGAAAGACATCAAAAAGCAGCTCAAGATCCTGAGGTCCAGCCATATGTTCAGGATGAAACTGGACACTGCAAAACAAAGTTCAGATCATTTACCAGGACATGACTCTCCAATTTATGTATTAGTACCAGTAACAGGACAGGATATCAGGCAAGATCACCTGAAAAATGGCTTGGAGGTGTGTATAATGCCCTCATTGGATCCATCATTCTGATTTGTGAAAAGTACCTCCCAGTCACTGGGAAGAGAAGTGGCATCAATGGCATAGCCATGGTTCTGGGCAGTGATGAAACAACGTCCTGTCCCATGGTGCAGGCAAGGCTGATTATGCCCTCTGTTGCCATACCTGTCCAGAAAGCCATGAACTCAGTCAATGAGAATACCATTAACCCATTTTTTTCATGGGTTTTATTTTTGCCAATTCACAATTCAAAAGAAACATGGAGTTTGGTTCTGCAAATCAAATGTCCAGCAAAAAGCAAGTTTCAGGCATTCATAATGAGTGTTTTTTACACTGGCATCCCTTCATACTCTGGCATAAGAATACCATCTCAACTCTTGTTCAGGAGCAAGAGGTCATTCAAAGTGGCTTCTGGAATGCCAGACATACAAAACTGCTAAAGTTTCATTGAGGCATACAGAAATACAGGGTGTCCCAAAAAAAAGGTATGAAAACATTTTTTTTTAATTAATATCTCTCTAAAAAAAAAAATGTTATCAAATTAGATTATTAAAACAGTAAAAGAAAGAATAACTCAAACTTTTTTTTTTTAAATCTGTCATGGCAATTCCATGGGCAGCAATTGTGACTCTGCAGATGTCCAAATGATGTTCAAGCTCTTGCCATGCCTCATGTGAAGAGTCAGGTGTAACAGTCTGAATAGTTGCGGCAATTCTTTTCTTCAGATCTTGGAGATTGTCAACTTTTCTCGAGTAAACAATGTCCTTGACATAGCTCCACAAGAAAAAGTTCTAGTTCTAGTTCATTCCATGGCCACCAAGATTACCTGATCTTGGTGGTCATGGAATTGGTGGCCACATCATAACAATCCACCGATCTGGGAATTTTTTAATCCATGGACTTGTGTACAAGTTTACTAAAATGTGGAGGTGCACCATCTTGTTTGAAAATCAGATTTTCATTGGCATCTGATTCTTACCCCTGAGCTGGATCTCCAAGATATGCAGAAAAGAATTGTTGCAGCTATCCAGACAGTTACACCTGACACTGCATGAGACATGGCAAGAGTTTGAACATCATTTGGACATCTGCAGAGTCATAAATGGTGCCCATGCAGATTTGCAATAACAGAAAATTAAAAAAAGGTTTAAGTTAAATCTTTCTTTTACTGTTTTAATCACTTAATTTGATACTTTCATTTTTGGAGATATAAATTTTTTAAAATGTTTCCATACCTTTTTTTTGGGACACCCTATATATTAAAGTGAAGTTGTAATGATAGGCAATCAAAATAAAATTATGTACTTCCTTCAGTGGCACAGAGCCAAAAAGGAAGGGCAAAAAATAATATTAAAAAATGAACATATATATATATATATATATATGGGTCCTGAAGATCAGTCCACATTCCAAAAACCATCAAATTTTCACTCAAGGAAAAAAAGGTCTTCAAGTAACTGGACAATTGTTGAAAGACTCAACAACCTTCAAAACTTACTTCATTTTATAAGAAGTACATCCAGCAGCAACTGCTAGGACCTGATGGCCCAAGCATATACCAAAGATAGGTTTGGGTGCATCTGCAGCAATAATTTTTTGCAAATTCTGAATCAATTCTTTACACATCTGTGGATTCCCAGGGCCATTGCTCAAAAACAACCCATCATATTCTTCTGGATGTAGCTTGTAATTCCATGGCACCACTTGAACTGAAGCTCCACGGGATACAAGACACCTGATCTGATTATACTTTAGACCGCAGTCAACTACACAAATTCTTGGTTCCCCTGATGGGTTGAAGGACTTTGGAACCTGGAAAAAAAGTAACTTTCACAACTCTGGAAGGAAAGCATCTACACTAAACAAAACAAAATCTCATTGACAGAAAATACATCCCTCACCTGAATAGAAACTTCTGCGACTAGATTCCGAGCATCTGGATCACTCCATGAAATCTCCTCTGGACAACTGCCATCTATGACGAGTTTAGCAAGCATGGTGCCATGCTCTCTAATTTTTTGTGTGAGGCACCGAGTATCAATGCCAGAGATACCAGGTACACCTTCCTCTTTGAGCCAGTCATGCAAGGATTTGGAGGCACTCCAATGGCTGTAGGACTTGCAAAGTTCTGAGATCACGACTGCTGCTGCCCAGATTCGATGTGATTCAAACCACCTGGACAGTGGGAACACCAGTGAGCAAAAAAATATGAAAAAATAAGTGGGAAATTCCATGGTAGCATGAATCCAAACAACAAACTGAGAAATGGAATTATCATGATGAAAATTGCTGAAAGCTATGATTCTGGGTGTTATGGAGCATAGACATGATAAGTGAAATGAAAGCTAGAATTTATTTTCTTGCAATGAAAATGAGGTCCAACTTTTTCGATAATATTACTAACATGAACATACCTAGAGTCAATATTTCATTCAATCCATCCTCTCATTTACCTCTACTTTTAATGACTAGAGAGAATACCTATTCTGCAAAACTAGAGCTGACTTCTTGGTTAGAACCAAGCAAGAGCTCAGTTGGTGTTCATGTCCAGCTGATGACTCTAGTAGGCTATTCACCAAAGCATATCATCAATTAATAGTCCCAAAATAATTAGTAGATCCTAAACTATTCAAGATTACATAAAACTTGCTTGGGCAAATCCAGATCATGTTGTGGTTCCTTGCTGCTGATGGCATAATTTCCAATGAGGGGGAAAGTGAGAATCAAGAGCTGAGATCTGTATGAGGGATCTGTGAGAGACTCAGGGTATCCAACCATCCCAGTCTGGAAAACTGCAACAGAATAAAACGTAATAAAAAAATTTTTATTATAGAAGAATGAATTGGATTATCATTTCAGGCTTGGTCTTTGCAGCAATTTCCTCGGTTGTTGGGGATACTGCCAAGCAAATATGTTCAAAGACATAATCCAACTGTACTCTTGAAACATAAAAGTTGATTGCTCAAATCTGATATACTATTGTTATACACCCTGTGCAGTCAGTATCATTACATTAAATATGACATTGTATTGCATGTCTTCCAAGTAATAAGACTGACAAGACTAACTCACCAATTTCCCCTGCTGTACTGGTTTCTGCTCCAAATGCTGTCCCTTTGAACTCAGAACCATCTTCAAGGATCAGCCTAGCTGGCTTCATGGGTATCAAGGCTTAGTATTAGGGTTGCTAAAAAGCATCAGGAATGTGACAACAACAGCCAAATCTTCTTTATCTACTAGAGTGAACTGAAAATATAAAAATTTCATTTCAAATGTGATGATGACCAAAGCAAGCCAATGAAGTGATAAAAAGAGATTCAATCTGCTCTGAGGATTTGCTCAAGAATTAGGGAGCATTATTGTTGAAATTGCTCACCATCTCCCTTCTATTCAAAACACGCATGCCAGCACCAGACCATGTACAGGCTAAGCTCTCAAAGAACTATCCTCCTCCTTAACCCATTAAGCACGAGCTTTGACCTGATCTTCTAAGTGACGACAGTGTGACATATGTGAAAACTGCCTGAAGGGTTTGCATCGGTTCCCACTGGTGGATCATTTGCTGCTTTATATTTGAAAGGCTCAGCATTTTTCTTGCCTCACTGTATGACTGTGCAGCTTGTATGATGGTGCCTTAAAAGCGTCTACTTCCATTTTAAAATAACAATTTTTTCTGCTGGTTCTCTTTATTATTAATTATTGATTAAAGGAATCTAAATTATGCTTTTGCTCATCCAAGAAACTGACATACTTGCTGTTTCCACCTTATATTTGCCCCAAACTAAATGAAATACTGGCATGTGAATAATGAAATTGTAGACAATCAAACTAATTATTGCAAAAAAAAAGGTGCCACAGACAATTATGTGAATTATCTTCCAAAAAGAAAGTAGCAACCCTCCTGTGTCACAAAACCTGAGTTCATTTAGGGTGTTTTGAGTTTAAACATTTCAGGCACATGAAGGGCTTGTGGGGGTTCTGGGCATAGGGTGTTTTCCTGTCAGCCTGTCTAGAGCCCATTGCTTTGCTGATCCCAAGTGACTGAGGAAATCCTGTCCACCAATAATATAGTCAAAACAATTTTTTTTTATATCATTACTGAACCTCACTGATAGAAAGCATTAAAACCAGTGGCATGCCCAGAAAATCCGAATGGGGGGGGTCGCCATATGAAGCACTGATTACCCACCCTAATGGGGGGGGTTAACATTTAAAAAAACTGATAACCCACTCTGTATTTGTGGCAAAATAAAAAAATTTGTGAGAATCGAATGTGTAAAATTGACCCCAGGGGGGTTATGACCCCCAAAACCCCCCCTTGGGCATGCCACTGATTAAAACAGTTATCTGCTTTTAATCAATCAGACTCCCCCATTTCCTCGAGTTTCATTACAGTATCAATCATCAGGCATATACTATGGGAGCTTTCCCTCCTTGTCATAGGAGGTGGAATGAGTGAACCATCTCTGCTTCATGCTATGATGACACCTGGGATAAAGTGTAGAAGGCTGCAACACTACTGAACTGGCTCAAACTCAAGTTTTTTCAATCACACGAATAAAGTTATCTAATGATTTTTAAATTCCTGAAAGAAAATGCACAAAGATGAAGGGTTGAAGTTGCATTTCCAGAAGAAAAAATACATATTAGAAGATTCAAACAATTTTATGTAAGTCACCGGTGGATGACTACAACCTCTATAAAGAAGCGTCTAGTAGTCTTTCTACACCTCGTTCACAAATGTAATTCATCAACATCAACGCCACGGAAGCCCTAGGCTACTCCACGTGTGTATTATAGGCCTGAGTCAAACAATCCAAATACCTGCGAGAGTATGAGCGTGATAGAAACTTGATGAGAATTTGCGCCCTGTGGAAATGGGCTTCCCAACGGAGGCCTAAACAAAACCTACCCAAGGTGAGTCTTATATATCTACTATCGGCACGGAGCGTAGCACGTGGTACCTTCTGCCTGCGATGACGTCAGATTCTCCAGTGTGGAGACCTCGTTTCATTGGCTGTCGCTGGAAAGGTGTTGTCCATGAAAGCGGACTAGACGTGATGAGGAGGAATGCACAGCCCAGTAAGAACGTCTGGTATGAAAGACCATATCTCAGGAGTTGTACGCATGCACGAGTAGCCGGGAGATGGATGTTGGCAAGAACCTGTGCGAAACAAAATGGAACGCTCTCTGGTATGAACTACATTAGATCAAAATCCAGCTTTCACGTGGGCAAGAATCACGTATGACATAAATGGGGTTGCCACCCGTTCATAATTACTATGGACAGCACATATTTTTTCAGATGCAATTGGTGCCTTGGCTAAAGGTGGCTGTAGCCTATAGGTATCTACAGCAGAGCCACATATACAAGTGTACTTGGTCCATATGTCCATATTTTATTACTTCCTAAGGTGGCAACCCTAGACATAAAAATGTGCCGATTGTCATGCACGGAACTCACGCCACAGATTCATATAAGAAAGAACGAGTGCGGGCGAGAACACATTAAGCAAAAGCAAAATAAGCAAAAGGAAAGAAATTGAATGACGTAGGTTATAGTTCAGCTTCATTCAAGCAAAGGCATAGGAGCATTAACCCTTACATGGCCCAGAGGGGGAGAGGATTGTTTTTCCGCTCAATCAGCTGGATCCCAGAGGCGCCAATGAAGAGCAGGGTGTTGGTCGCCCGGTGCGCCGGTGCATTGTCATGATGCAGGAAGTGCTTGCCCAGCTCAGACTTGGGGCGACCTCTCAGCAATTTTTTAAAAACGACCGGCAGGCACGTTTCCGTATACCATTTCGAATTCACTGTTTTGCCTTCTTCAAGCGGTACAGCCGCCACGAAGCGATCAGAAGTGAAGAAAACAGCAAACATCACCTTGCCGAAGGAATTGGCTCGGATGGCCTTGAGTGGCGGCGCCTCCCCTTTTTTTGACCAAACCAGCCGATCCAGCTGATTGAGGCGCCACCTTACTCACCGGATTTGGCGCCTTGCGACTTTTGGCTGTATCCAAAAATGAAGAAACCTTTGCGAGGAAAAGTATTTGGAACCCGAGAAGAACTGATTGAGGCGGTGGAGAATCAGCGGAAACAGCTCAAAAAAGACGATTTTCAGCACTGTTTTCAAAGTTGGCTCCGGCGCCTTCAAAGGTGCATTGATATTGGCGGCGGTTATGTTGAGAAGTGTTAAATAAACACACTTTCAGAGAAAAATCTGAAGAAAAAAATCTACGTTTATTTTTAATTGAAAAGTCCGGAAACTTATGCAGGACCCCTCGTATGTATTAATATGTAGGTAAGTATTATGGTATGCATATACCCAGTCTGCACTACAATATTGACTCAACGTTGAGATGCTGATGATGGTGCTGATGATCCAATGCATAGTCAACTTTGACGCGATGTTGAAAATATTAACATAGCAAGGACATTGTCCGGTTAAAATTACATCAACATGTGTCGGGCGAGACATCTCATGAGATATTCAAACAAAGCAGGTTTTCTGACCCTGAATTGAAATGGCGACAAATTGCCAAACACAGGGAGTTACCTCATAAATGCAACCGGCACACGTCCCCGGGAGTTTTGGAACGATATGTTTTTATTTGTCCACAACCAACACCGAGGAAGGTGCTTGAATTCCTGAATATTCGACGAATGAGGCAACCCAACCCAATTTGAGACCCAGGGTAATTCTGGCCCTGGGAAGGAAAAGAAGAAAGTTCTCGTGTTCATATGACTGTATGAGACCTCGCCCACCTTAAAAAAAAAAAAAGATGATGAATATGATCCTACGAGTCGCGCGAAAGGATCCACTACCGGTTATCTTTTATTTGGCTGCAATTCCTCTGCTGTCTTCTTTCCACGAGACCGGGATGTCTTCATCCGATCTCGGCATAGAGTCTATGTCGAGTTGAGAGAAGGCTTCCCTAATTTTGATACTAAAGGGAGTGAGATCAGACTGGTAATAGTACTTCGTTTATCAAGTAGCTCATACAACCTCATGAGCCGTTTGAATGGCACATGCGCACTGTCTGTTGGTACATGAGACCTGTCTCATTTCAACCTTGAAGCAATGTTGATTCAAGGGGCGATGAATGTTCTTCAACATTGACTCAACATTGTGGATGTTGAAACTTCAATGCTGCTACAACATTGCATCAATATTGCTGCGTAGAGTGAGTATTGATAGCTGGAAGGTTACATAGGTGTGTCCGTTTGATGTTAAAACCGGCAACTCAAAGAAACCATAATAATTTTGATACTATGTGGTTTTTTGTTATGGGTCAAGACAATCCCCTGCCCTTGGTCAAGTAAGAGTTATTGAAGAGGTGATCGAGACGTGCATCTCTATAATACAACAGAGCGATAGGGAGATCAGATGACCCAGATTGCTTCCTTAAAGGTGTCCAAAGCTATATTTCATAGCCTGCCTCAGTGCGAGTTTTCCCTAATAGCGAATAACTTAAGCCGGAATTCTGTAAAGTAAAATGTTGATCCGTGCTTCCTAGAGAGCTGTTCCAAATCCCACTCCAAGCCTAAAAATCGTTTTTCGTTGCTAGCTCTCTTTTGAAACGAAAACGAACCACTAAAACAGGGACAGCAACAATAGGAAAACGACGAGGGCAGCCAGAACCCGTTGTTTTCGGCGGACCTAGACTCCCCTCCACGAAGAGTCACGAATCTATCGCAGATCTCTCTTAGTTGAGGTGGAGCGCCCTATCTCCTCTCGGGACGATAAGGGTTCAAATGCTTCGTCTCATATCTTGAATTTTCAAGACAATCTCCAAAATTCAATGCAGTTCCAACGTAGAACGCAACTTTCTAATTTGAACGAGGCTTCGAAAGGTATAGAATAGAAAATAAATCTCTATGAAGTGATAATAAGGGAACACTTCTTTTAAAGAGGAAAGTCAACAAAGGAAAGGTAGGGAGGTAGGTATTGGGGGGTATTGAGGGAAGGTACCGAGTTTCCCCTCTCGATCCCATTATGCTTCAACGATTCCATAAGATCCAAGGCCGAGACGGCACAAGTGAAGGAACCGGTCGACCTAGGCCTGGCAGCCTGAAGCGATTCCAACAGTCCCCGTATCGCCACCCCCTAGTACAGCTTGGCTAGTCTTTCTTTTGGCTATTTCGAGAATCCCCTCCG